AGAGGAGGAGACTGTTCATTATTTTCAGTGTCTTAGTTTGAGATTGGGGGAGGGAGCCCCAGTTCTAAGTTAGAATCTCAGATAAACGATCAGCTCCGCCCTGATCCGCGCTCAGGTGAGCAGGTGAGAGGATTGGACGCGATTTGGACTGGAGCCATCCCTTCCTTCAACCTATCCTAGGTCGGGCTGTCTGATTGTGTGGCGTGGTCTTGAAGTCTCGCCCTATGTATAATCCATAGGGTGGGTTCCAGGAGCGGAGAGGTGCCACGTATGAAAGGAAAGCAGGCATCTATTTTAAAATCGGTGTTGGTGTGGTGGCTTACAAGCGCCTCGGTAAGAACGTCAGTCGCTCCCATGGGAGGGAGCAAAGGGGACGCCAGATCCTGCAAGAAGTGCTACAGCCCTTTGAGCCAACAACCCCCTCCCTCAGCTACTCCACCCGGTGGCTCCGGCCCAGCCCCTGAAGCGATCAGGCCACAGCCCCCTGCCTCGTAGTTTCTCCTCCTAGAGCCGCCCGGCCCATCTCCCCATCCGAGGCCCCGCCCACGACCCCGCCTCCGCCTCCGCCTCGCCGACGTCCAGGACTACAGGTCCCATCAGCCCCAGGCCAGGCCTGAGGGCGGGGCCACCACAGCAGCGAATGGGGAGGAGCTTAGGGCTCAGGCTAGGGAACGCGTGTGTCCAATCGCTGGGCCGCTCGGCCTGTGAGCTGATGGGGGGCGGGGAGGAGCCCGCTTGGGCCGGGACAAAAGCCGGATCCCGGGCAGCTGCGGGCGGCTGGAGCGATCCGGAGAGTTTGGGTGACCCGGGGCTCGCGGACACAGAGCCGCACTCGGGCTTTCTCGAAGAGGTGAGTGCCACAGCCGTGTGCGCGGGCGCGACCCCCCAGTCCCCGCGAAGCTTCCTGCTTCCCTCCCCCAACCCGGAACCACCTCCCGGTTCGCTGGCTGTGCTCTCCCGCGCGCTCCCTGCACCTGCTTGGAACTTTTGTGCGGGTCTCAGCTTCATGGTAGTCTTTGCCCCGGCATCGAGCCGCGTGCCTACACCCTCCCAACCCTTTTCTAGTTCCTGGGAGTTTGCACGTTGCTTGCCGCCGACCTCGCTTCTCTTCCCTCCGATTCCTTTGCGCGTCCTGTCTCTCGTCAGCTCCACCCAGGGCCAGCTCTCGAGTCTCCTCCAGCTTTGTGGGGGGACACTTTTTGGTGCCCCATTCGGGTTCCCCACCAGCTACTTGGGCAGGAAGTAGAGAAGGCGGTGGCTGCTCGCCCCACGCCGGCCGGACTCAAGCAGGCCCGTCCTGTTCTGTGGTGAATCCATAAAGCTCTGTGTCGAAGTGGAGGGAGTGGGCCCCGGCCACGCGGGCAGTGCTACCCCAGGGTGCTTGAGGCCTTGCCGCGAGCTCTTGGCTCCGAAGCGGAAGCCTCCTGCTAAGGAGTTCCCCACGGATCCAGCCCCCAAACAACAGATGGTCGGAGTGCCCAGGAGTCTGGACGAGGCAAGCTCCTGAGGGTGTGTATGTGTGCGTGCGCCCGCGCGCGTGTGCAAAGGATGCTATCCTCTCCCTCCTGTCAGGCCTGGCAGAGGTCCGGTGCCCAGAGCCTGCTGCTTTCTCATCTTGAATTTCTGCTATGTGTGTGTGTGTGTGTGTGGGGGGGGGTTCCTCCTGGCAAGATTTTGGAAAGGACTGTAAGAAGGACAGCATTAGGGCACTTTAGTCTGCCAGCCCACCCTGTCAATCCTCCCTTTAACATTACTCAAGCTCTCACTCTGTTCACTTTCTGGGGTTTCTTTACTGTTGAGAGTTAACTGCCACGGAAGGATAATTTCCACCTCTTAGAAAGCTCCTTAAACACTCTGAGGGAGCGGTAAAGGGAGGCCGTGAAGACAGAATAGCTGCCGTTTCTAATCCCCATTCAGAGATGGTGCCTGCTGCAGCAGGGAATACTCCAGAGAATTCTGCCCCGTTCCTCTGCTATAGGGTCTGCTTGTCGTCCCACCCCCACTCCCCCTAGCCCTTAAAGTGAGAGTGTTTTGTCGACCCTAAGAAATATTCTCAGTAGTTCCTGTCCACCTCGGTGTCCCAGAGGAGTCTTCTTGAAGAACAGGATTCATTCATTCATCCTTCTCTGTAGGTTGCTTCTGCTCCTGGGGCCTCTGAGCATATTCAATCCTGGGTCACTCACGTCAGAAAATGTCCCATTCAACTCAAAAGGTCTCTTTCTGGAAGGGGGAGGGGTGAGAGAGGATATGTGTGTCCCTGTTCTGACATGGTTTCTCCTGAAGAGTTTGCAGATTACTGTTACCAGGAAACAGTTTCTGGGGTGAAACCACCCATCATGAATTTGACAGTGTCATCAGCTGCTGGAAAGGGCAGCTTAAGACTTTGGGGGGGATGTTGGGGGGGGCGGAGGTCTCCAGTTAAGTTTGGAACATACTTTGCCGAACATTTCAGTACTTGCATACTTCCCAAAGGGTTTTCAGGTTCTGAAAAGCACAGGAAACCTCAAAGATCCATTGCTTTAAAGGGAAGTGAATCAACAATTGAAATTTCGATGAATCTCCACTGAGGCCTCCCTGGGTTGTGAGCTACACTGGTGAGAGAAGCCAGGCCCCTCCTCCAGTTAATCTATGAGCTCTTTGTCTCAGCCTCCTCAGCTAAGCCTTCAGTGCTCTAATGGCACATCTTATTTTGGTAAACTGGCAAATCCTTCCTTTTCATCTCCCTGTTATTTTTGTCTCCTGACCCCACCCACCCCTGGTCTCAAGGAGATGGACTCTCAGATCTGAGACTCAAGGAAATTATGATTTCCTTCAGTTGCCTAGGGTTGCTTTTTTCTCCGCATCTTTCCCTTGGTTGGGTCTTGGGTCTTTTGTGAGGTTCTAAACTCTGGGTGCTGCCCTCAGTCTTCTGTCAGTGTCAGATTTTTGGGTAGGTTTGGCAAGGGGCCATCCTTTCTCCTAGAGTATGTGATCCTGTTTGTTGAAGGTGTACCTGTGAGTGACTGAAAGTGGTCAGTGCCACCCCCTCCTCTTTCTGCTTAATGTGCTATGGGCTGTACTCTGTTTGGGAGGGGGGTAGGGGTGTGCCCATTCGATTTCAAGACCAGTTTTTCTGGTCTTGAGTCAAGAAGGTTGGGAAATGGTACTGGAGTGGGTGGGGGTGGAAGACTTGGGGGCAGCGGGGCTAGTTGGGGCGTCTCCTTCAGAAACAAACTGAGAAGGAGTTACAAGTTATCCCAGGAGAAAGCTCCACACTGGGAAGGTCTCCCCACCCTCTTTCCAGTTAGCCACTTGGGACCAGGTCCCAAGCTGAATATACCCATTGTGATGAGTTAGGGACAGAGAGAGTTAGCCTGGCCGTGATTAGCACCAGAAGCCTCTCCTGCATGGCCTGTTGGAGTTCAGTGTTGTTCTGTGACACTTGTCTTCCCTGGGCTAGGAAAGGAGACTAACCTTCCTGGATGTGTCAGCCAGCCAGCTCCTTAATTCACCCTCCTTGTATGAACTTGACCTTCCTCTCCCCAGCAAATTCAACAGCTTCCATTCTGGTCCTTTGGGAGAGACGGGCAGCCTGTCTTCATCTAGCCAGGCACTTGGCATGCATGACTGGATTTCCTTTCTCCATCTTTTCTCACTGTTCTCCACAAGCTGCTCTGGGGGAGAGTGGGTGTGTCTGGCAAGGTAGTAGATAGGAAGGATGAGCGAATCCTCATCATAGACTCTCCCAAATCGAAGGGGGCCAGTCTTGGGAGAAATACCTTTCTGTTAGGTCTGCAGTGGCTGTTTCTGGAGACTCTGGAGTGTTAGGGCTCAAGTCCTGCTGGTGACTTGGGCAAGTTCACCCCCTCCTTCTGAACTTTGATTCCTCATCTGAAATGGGATTCTGAGCCTGAGTACGTATGAGTTCACATGACAGGAGTTACTTCTTGCAGTGCTAGGAACCAAACCCAGGGTCTTATGTATGCAAGACAAGCACTCTGCCACGGAGCTATGCTCCCAGCCTCTGAGATGAGTTTCTCTACACATGTCACTAAAGATGGCTTCTGCCTTCTCCCAAGTTCTGGTTCAGTTAAGGATGACTAGTACAGGGTAGTCCCCAGAGAGGACTCTGTTTTGCTCAAAGTTAACTGCTAAGATGACTCAGGGGGGTGGGGGTGGGATGATCTGCAGGTCATAGTTCCCTGCCCTGTGACTGTTATGTATGTACTCTGAGGTGGGAGTCTAGTGTCGTAGGAGAAAAGAGCTTTGAGGTAACAGTCTCCTTCCTCCCACCCCACCAGGGCATGTAGTCTATTGGGATGTATGTGAGTGAGTCAGTCTGGGAGGGGGATGAAACCAGCTTGTGCAATTCCAGCCATGTTCTTCACAGGTCAGGGACATAAAGAAGTAGGTCAGTGTGTGTGTGCCCACCTCAGAGAGCAGCATACACATTTGGATCAAACCTTGGTGTTCCTGGCTTCCCCTTTGATCTGCCTTTTGCTCAGGGCTAAATGTGGTTGTGGCCAGCTGGTTTGCCCAGAGGGAATAGAGACAAGGTTAAGGTCAGGCAAAGAGTTCCAGAGGAATTGCACATACCTACATTTCTCTCGTTTCTTTTTCTAGGTTCAATTAACCACCGTACTCCCTCCTTCCCTCCCTCCCTGCCTCCCTCCCTCTTGTCTCCCTTTCTCCCTTTCTCTATTTGGGATTAGGTCTTGAACTTCTGATTCTTCTCCCACTTCCCCCGGGTGATGGGATTATGGGAATACACTACCATGTCTGGTGCTCTGTTCCTAATTTTCTATCATTTCTTTAGCTCTAGGTATAGATCTGTGTCTCTGCTGATGAAGCTGCTTTGACAACATCTTCCATCCCCTCCTGCCAAAGCAGCTCTTTTCCTTTCTTTTGAGAAAAGCCAAGATCTAATTTTATTGTTTGGGGGCAGCTGGGAATAGATCCAACCTGCTGTGGGAGATAGTGCATTGACCTTCCTGGCTCAGCTGACCAGTTCCTCTTACCCTCACAGGTAAACCGGGTCCCTCTGCAGACATGTCAGCCAAGGCAATTTCAGAGCAGACGGGCAAAGAACTCCTTTACAAGTACATCTGTACCACCTCAGCCATCCAGAACCGGTTCAAGTATGCCCGGGTTACTCCCGACACCGACTGGGCACGTCTGCTGCAGGACCACCCCTGGCTGCTCAGCCAGGTGAGCTTTGCCTGCTTCCTAGGCTCTTCTTTCCAACCCAGGCTCTGAGGAGGAGAAAGCATTTGGTTTGTTGCAGGTGTCCCAAGGAGTTATGTGATTGCACGTTTGCCTGTGTGACTGCAGCTGGCTGAGCAGGGTCTGGGCTCTTGCGTTTGCTCTGGGCCCTTCATATGGACTTGGAACCAGACAGACTGGTATCCAAACCACACTTCTCTGTTTCTGAACCATGTGGCCTGGGGCAAACCATTTCATTTCTCTTGAATTAAGTTCCCCAACTGCCAAGTAGGGATAACACTTTATGAGCTATAAGGATTAGCAGGAATATCCAGGAAGCATTTAGTGTGCTGTATAGCAGTTGGTAGATGCTCAATTAAAAAAAAAAAAAA